AATTTTTTTAATTCAAGAATGCATGTTAAGACTGTCAAGTGTTTTTTCTCTGTCTATTGAGATGTTCCTATGGTATTTGTTCTTTGTTCTGTTAATGTGGCGTATTACCTTTATGGTTTTGTGTATGTGGAACCCATCCTACATCCCTGAGATGAATCTAACCTGGTAATGATGTATACTTTCCTTGATGATTTGCTGCATTCTGTCTGCCAGTATGTTATTGAGGATTTTTGCATCTGTGTTCATTAGGGAGATTATTCGGTGGTTCTCTTTTTTTTTGGTTGGATCCTTCTCTGGTTCTTTTTAATCAGGGGTAATACTTGCTTCCAGGAATGAATTTGGGAGTATGGTTTCCCTTTCAGTTTCAGCTTGAGTAGTGGCATTAGAGAAGGTAGACAATTTAAAAGGATGAAAGGAATTGAAAACAGAGGACAGGGATAAAGGGGGAAGTGGTGTGAGGTAAAAACAGTCAAAGTATATTGTACATAATTTGTATGTATACACTGTACCAAAATGAACTTCATGATTCTCTGTAATCAGTATATGCTAATTAAAAAGAAAGGGTGAAGGAACTCAAAGTTTTTATTACTACAGCTGAGGGAGAGATTTAAGAAAAGTTAAGAGTTAGAGTTAGGAACAGTATAGGGCGTTTAAAGTGCCAGATATAATTCCTAGTACTTGCTGTGTTAATTCAACCCTCATGATACACTGAGAGGTTAAGTAGATGTTTCATTTGTTGGGGGGGGGGTCTATATTCAGCCTGAGAAACTGTTAATTCATAAAGAATAAACACTTGTTAGCTTCTGGAGGCTCAGAATTCCAAGAGCATGGAGTGTCCATCTGTTCAGAGTCTTGTATATTAACATGCTTAAGGAGGCGTCACATGGCCCGACAGAGGAAGCATGTCAGCATGGTGCTCATTTTCATAGGTACCATCATGGGGAGGGGGGCGCCTTCATCACCTTATATATCCCAATTAACTTCCAAAGGTTCCCCAACTCTATTATTAATGCATGAATTCGGGAGTTTTCAATACCAGAACTTTTAGATGAACTTCAAACCATAGCAGAACTTCTGGGCATCACTTAACTTGCAAGTTATTTTTTTGTACATGCAATATAGTTACATCTTTCTGTTTTCCATTGTTTCCTTCCTTCCCTTTCTTCTCTCCATTCCCATCTTTTATTCTACTTTATCTTTTGATTCCTCCATTCACATTCATCTCTCCTATACAGTGTACTCTCCTTACTTTACCTCCTTTGCTCTGCCTTTCCCATCTGTCACTTATACAGCAAAATCATTCTTTATCCCTCTAAATTCCTGCAACTGATTGTCCCCTTTCTTTCTTTTGACATTAAATTTACTTTAAAAAAAGACTGTAGTTACTGTCATTTATCTGTTCACTTTGTAACTCCTTGTCATCCAGCCCTCTCCTCCTCTTTGCAGGGCTAGTGGATTTTTCTCCTTCCTTATTCTTGATGTATCCTCCCTGTTTCCTTGAATTTCTCTGTACTCTGTGGTGCATGTAATATTACCTTAATTCTATTTTTTTTTCATCTCATCAATGTGCCTAAAAAGTGAAGGCATTACTTTTTATATTTGTTCTTCCAGCTTCTCTGTTTGGGTTAATGGAAACATTTTTCTCTTTAAAAACTTAAAAAGAGTCTTTTCCTCTGGTTCTTTTATTCAACAAATATTTCTGGAGTACCTCATATATACAAGATTGTTTCAGATCTTGGTCTTAAAGCCAAGACCAAGAGAAGTTGACCTTGTGGAGCTTACATTTTGGTAGGTAAAATAGGCAGTATGCAGATACATAATGTCAGTAAACATGTGTCGTAGTTACTTTATGCTCGTCGCTGAGACAAAATACCTGAAGCCCAAAGTTGGGAAAGGAAAGGTTTATTTCTTGCAGTTTTTGGAGGTTTCAGTCCACACTCAGTTGTCTCCAAGACAGGCTGGCATGGCTGGGCTGCAGTTCATGGCGGCCGCCAGCAGCAAACTCGAACCAGCAAAGGGAGAAACACACCTTCTTCCTGCCATTACATCACATCCTGGCTCCACCCCTATGTGGGTGGAGCACTGACACCATCAATCCAAGCACTAAACAATGAACCATCATATATGAACAATGCAAACTCATGAGGCCTGGGGGACACAAACATAAACCATGACAACATGTTACAAAGGATATTAAATAAAGTATGCTGAGGATCATTGGGCAGTGATGGGGGTAGGTACTGTTTGGCATAGGGTGATTTCTTTGAGAAGAGTGAGCGAGCTTTGTTGATGTGTAGAATAGCCCTTCACTCATAGGGAATGAATGGCCAAGTTAAAAAAGCTGAGATAGACTGTGCTTTTTTGTATTTAGCACAGGTCTATGCGACTGGAATAGAGTCAGCAAGGTATGCTCTAGATAGAGTTTTGGACTTTAAATATTTTGGGAATGCTTTGGAGAATCCGAAATAGGAGAATGTAAAGTCTAATTAATGTTTTAGAAGGATCACAGAGATAGCTGTGTGCACTGTTTGAGGGGAGGGTTTACAGTAGAGGAATCTGGGATGCTAGAAAACTTTCATAGTATATTTGTGAGAAATGATGGTGATTTACAGTGGAATTGATAGTGGTTTCAGATGAGTGATGCATTTTTGTAGATGGAGCTGCAGAGAGAGGAGCTAATGCTGACTTGAGTTTTATAGGCTTAAAAACTGGGCGAATGGAGGTTTCGTTACTAAGAAGATCCTTCCAAGAGGAGTTTATTTTGGGAGAGTGGAAAGATGAGTGGAGTTGATGTTTATTTTCAGTATGTTGGGTTTGAGATACCTGTTAGACTCCCTAATCAAGATTAAAGTCTTCAAGCAGTCAAATGTGATTGTGGGTCTGGAGAAAATATCTGTGGGATCACCTAGCAGTGCCTGAGTATGAAGAGTAAGATAGACTTGAAGGGTTCAACTGTTGGATAGCTCTGATTATCTCTGCAAGACATATAATACATGTTCTAGAAGCTAATTGAGGAGAAAAGGGTTGGAGAGGGGAGAAAAAATCAACTGTCAGATGCTGCTAGGAAACAATCATTTAAAATCAAATAACTGACTTTGGATTTGGCTAAATCCTGTGTCTGCTTTGCAGTATAGCGGTAAAGTTCATAGCATACCTTTTCATATCCTGTGAACAAAGACTACTAATTAGCCTTTCTCCCCTTTTTTATTGTTCCTTTCTTTCCTGATTGTAATAAAGCATACGTGCTCATTATAGAAAACTTGGAGAACAAAATGTAAGAAAGGTCAAACTGTGGTATTCTTTATCCACCTTATCACTGCAGATAATCACTGAGAATAATCCTTTGTGTTTTTTTGTTCTGCATATTTGTGCAGCTTAGTGTGCTTTTATATCAAATTGAGATGAAAAGTAGTTTTAACTTTGCTGTTTTAAGTGACCACAGTGGACCTACTTATCTAACAAAATTTTTGAGAATGTTTCTCAGTGTTCAGCCACATGAATATTTCATCGCGAAGGAATAGCTTAACTGGACTCCCTTTTATCCTGCCCCTAATACTAACAGGTCCTGATTGATTTTCCTAAACCATGTTGTGCACTAAGCTTTCAGTATATAGCACGGTGGTTAAAAGCTTGGGCTCAGCTTTTGGGAGTAATGCATGCTTAGAACAGAACATCTGGAAAGTAGAAAAAAAGATGTACTGTTACCATTTGTAGATAAAAATTACTAGTCATGATTATTGGTGTAATTTCATCTTCCTGTCAATCTTTTGTTATCCTGTCTAAATGTGTAACACATGTATTCTCTGTTCTTTGTAAATTATCTTGGTTAGATTGTATAAGGAGTCTTGTGATTCTGTTTGTTGTCAAATGATCTTCAAGAAGATTGTACCATTTGAAAGTATATATTTATGAAGAATTTTATTCTCTTTAAATTTTAGGGTAGACTACTATCTTATTGAGCTCTTTTTAAATGAAGTTCTACTTGGATACAGAGATGAGGACTAGATTACTTCTTGAGATCCCTTCTAACCTCTAGGATGAAGATAACTAACATTTGTGTAGTGCTCTAAAGCTTTTAAAGTGAGTTGTCATACTTCATCTCACTTGATTGTCACAGAAACTCTGAGGTAGGTAGGACAGGTATTGTCATTCTTATTTTAGAGATAAAACTAAGAGAGAGATTACATTAATTTAAATGTTCTGGCAGGAATTTGAATGCAAATCTTCTCTGAATAGTCCCATTCTTTGTACAGGATCTCATGCATTTAGAAAGAATTACAAATTTGCTGACTACATGCTATTTGTTCTGTACATAAGCAAAGCTAATGAACAATCTGAATACATTCATACTTCTTTTAGTGTCCATCTTCCTGCAATCTTCCTTCCTCCACAAATAAATGGCTTTGTCTCTTGATGAGGAGAAAGTAATGTAATACACAGTTGCATTAAACCCCTAGAGGTTTCCCCATCGTTTGGGTGAAGGAAGTTGTGTTTTCACTCTCCTCACCACAGTCATTGCTTACTCTCACAGTCACAGTATTGCAACCTAAAATATCTGAGTGATATGATCCAGTTGGATTATTGGAGTCTGGCAGGAACCTAGAGTCACCAGCCTCTCAGGGTATGGAACTGTTTTTATGACTACTTTAAGCACCATGGAGATAATTAACTATTCAGGTATAGTTGCCTGTTGCATTCTCAAGGGAATAGTAAATGACCAATAAAAGTTGTAATTGAGGTAAAATCATGAAAAGTTATAACTAGTCTTCTTTGGTTACTCATGAGGCAGAAGTTTGTTATCCTGAATTGATGTGGGAGTTTAATAGTGGTAGTGGCAGTATCAAATGTACTATGAACAGACCTAGATTTAGCAAGATCATGACTGTAAGTGTGATTTATAGATCGTGACTGTAGTATTTTATTAAGACTCTAACATTGTTTTATGTACTGCCCCATAATATTTTTAAAATTAATTTTTTACTGGTTTTATCTTTTTCTAGTTGTTGGTCTTGACGATATTATGGATGAAGGAGTTGTTAAAGAAAGTGGCAACGATACCATTGATGAAGAAGAATTGATGTTACCCAACAGGGATTTGAGGGACAAAGTAGAAGAAAACTCAGTGAGATCACCAAGAAAATCACCTCGTTTAATGGCACAAGGTAATGTTTCCAAAGATGTCTAGCTAAAAGATCAGAGCTGTAGGAACAAATGTGTTAGCTTATAAACTTCCTAAGCCAAAGTCATATTTTCTTTTTTTTTGGTACCAGGGATCGAACTCATGCCCTCAAGCTTGCTAAACAGGTGCTTATGCCACTGAGCTAAATCCCTGGCCCAGAGGTCACATTTTTTTGATGTTTGCTAATACAAGCATTTTGGTAAACTAAGATACGTATTTGTTTCACAAATTTCTGGTACCGACCACCCAGATTCCCATCTGCAGAGAAAAATGCTGTTAACTCTCACAGTTTATTTATCTTTTATTTTTAATATCAAATATCAGTTTAATATCTTTGATATTTATCTTTGATTCTCTAGGTAACATGCATGTGTTGCTTCTGGTTTTTTTGTTTTTTAGAGTACTGGGGGTTGAACCTAGGGTTGAACTCGTGCTGAGTTTCCCTGACTGGGCTCTAAATTGTTGATCCTCCTGCTTCAGCCTTTTGCCAGTGTGCTGAGATTGCAAGTGCTCTGTTTTTGGTTTGATTTGTTGTTGTTGTTGTGTGTGTGTGTTTTTTTATTGAGACGATTTTTTTCAGGCTGGCATTGAAATTACTGTGTAGCCCAGGATGGCTTTGAATCCGATCAGTCCTTCTGCCTTGGCTTCCTGAGTGCTGGGATTACAGGTGTGCGCCTGTATTTATTTCCTTTCCTTTCCTTTTAAAAATTTTTTAAATTTTTTTAAGACAGGGTCTTGCAGTACAGTTCAGGCTGGCCTCCAACTCACTTTGTAGCCCAGGCTGGTCTGGAACTTTGAATGTTCCTCCTGCCTCAGCCTCCCACGTGCTGGAATTATAGACGTGAGCTGCTATGCCTGGCTCTTGTATTTATTTCTCTTCTTCTTCTTCTTTTTTTTTTTTTTTTTTTTTTTTTTTTTTTTTTTTTTTGTCTTTTTCCCTTTTATCGGTACCAGGGATGGAACTCAAGACTGCCTGCTTGCAAGGCAGGCGCTTATGCCACTGAGCTAAATCCCCAGCCCCTATTTCTTGATGTTACACTTTTCTTTTACTTGTCCCCTTCAGAGAGAAGTACATTTGAATTCATATCCTTCCAATATGGTTTCATTAGATTAGTAGGAATTATTTATGTTTGAAGGACTGCTTATAGAAGTGAAGCACATAATAAAACTTTTTTTTATGATATTTAGTCTTTCAGGTTTGATTGTTTTTACTTTTCACTTGTGCACTATAGGTCTTATTCTGCTAGTTGTCTTAAATCATTCCTGAAGAAGTTTGTGCCTGTGACTCTTGTCATTGAGGAAGGATCTCCTGGTGCTTCTGATGCACTGCTCTGGGTTGGTGTGAGCCCTCTGTGCCTGGTACAGATCTCTTAAGGGTGTCCCCTTGGCATGCGTGTGAGGAGTTGGCTTAGTTTTTTGTTGTTGGCTCCTCCTTGCTGTTGGCTCTTTGTTGATTGAGCTCTATCATTTTGGGATGCACCCTTTCCTGTAACTTGGTGGGGGGAAGGGAGTGTGGAGGTGCACTTGTCAGACCTTGTCCCCACATAGATTTATTGAATCCATTCTCAGAATGGAGTCATGGTTTGGGTTAGACATAGAACTCAAGACTGAAACTCAAGAGTTTTTTTTAGACATTTGAAGATGTTGCTTCATTTTCTTCCCACTGAATTTTGTAAGAAGTTTATTCTGATTTTGAAGATGTTATATGCTTTCTTCTGGGAGTTAATGCAGACTCTTCCTCTTCTTTGTCTATTTTTTAATTTATCTTATTTTAGGGCTCAAACTCATGACCTCCTGCTTGCCAGGCAGGTGCTTACACCACTGAGCTAAATCACTGGCCCAGAAAATTTTTTAAGGCAGAGAGAGGTTTCAAATTATGATAGTTCATATTTGGAGGAAAAAAAGTGAATTTAACTTTTATAAGTCACTATTAGAAAAATATTTTATTAGATATCTTAATAGTTGTTCCTTTATCATTTTTAGCAACCATTTAAGTGTTGAAGGTTTTTTTTTTTTTAATTAATAGGTAATGGGTGTGAGAAGTTCATTTATTCTATCTTAAGGATGAATAGTTGTCTTTAAAGTTTTAAAAATTACCTGAAATAAAATGTGGAAGTTTAAGTTATTTTTGAAGTATATGAACATGTGATAAATCGTGATTCACTAAATAATTATTAAACTGTTGAGTATGTCCCAAATATGTAGACAGTGTGTCAAGTCCTAGAGGAAATAGGAGTCCCTAATACTGGATAGCTGTATGCATTATTTTCTTAACTACAATACTTCAAAGTGAAAGAATTTGCTGTTAAAGATTACACTGAAGACTGTAAACACCACCTAGGATTTTTCCAGATAAATAAGACACACATTATTGATCTATGGAGATTTTTTTTTTTGTGGCATTGGGGACAAGGCAAGCATTCTACCACTGAGTGGCATCCCCAGCCACAGTGTAAGATTTTTAACAGGAGTACAGTCCAGTGATAAATGATACACAGTAGGGAAGCATTTGAAGTATTAGAGCATAGTAGGCTTTTACTTTGAAAGGGAGAATCTAAAAAATGATATTTTTGAGGACTTGATTTAGAGGTGCTAGAATATGCATAGGGTTGGAAGTAGCTTCATATTTTGAGGCCCCCCCCCGTACCAGGGATCGAACTCACGACTGCCTGCTTGCAAGGCAGGTGCTTACGCCACTGAGCTAAATCCCCAGCCCCTTTTAATTTTTTTTTTCCGGGTATTTTGAGTTTTAATGTATATTTTTCTATGTATTGTATCACTTAGCTCTCTTTTTAGCTCGTTTTACTTTTGTGTTTCTTCTCCTGGAGAGTTTATCAGTATGGAAAAAAGGCATTGTTAAAGATGGAAAGCTTCATTAAATTTTTCATTTTTTTTTTTTTTTTTCTTATCTATTTTCTTGGTTTAAATCTTAAAAATTTCCTTTTTCTCTCGGTAACCTATGTGTAGTACTCTGGTATATTCTTCATTTTTTTTAGGAATAACTTGAATGCTAAAAGGTGATGTAAGAAATAACATTAAAAAAAGAATTACAGAACTTTGAAAGTTGCATATTACAGCTTATGATCCTTTTTATGACAGGTTTACATTTTATTAGCACTGTAATTTTAAAAATTTTTTGCAGTACTAGGTATTAAATCCAGGGTGCTTTATCATTAGGCTATGTCTCCAGTTCTTTTTAAATTTAAATTTAAATTTTTTTAAGGCAAGATCTTGTTCTCTTGTCTAGGTGGGATTTGAACGTGGTGATCCTCCTTGCCTCAACCTCCCAGAGTGCTGGGATTATAGGTGTCCACTACCTCACCCGATTTTAAAAAGATACTTAGAAATATTTAATCTTTAAATGTATATAATGTTCCTTAAGATAGGCATTAGTAGAATAATAAAGGAAGCTCATATTACTAATTTTTACTTCAAGTTTCTTATGGAAGAATGACTCAGAAATATATCTTGTCATATGATATCATTCCAGATATCATAAATGTTTCTTCACTAGACTCAGAGGACTTTGATAAATATAAAACTATACATATACATGTTCAGTTATATATCTATCAGTGTATCTGGTTATAAGTAACTGTTAGTATCTTTTTGCGAAAATGACCAGATAAGTTTTATAGGTTACAATACAGAATTGATATATTTTAAATTTTACTGAAATAAAAACACATGGCAAAATAGCTAAGTTATTTCTATTTTTTTTTTTTTTCTCCCTTTGTGAATAGAACAAGTAAGAAGTTTGCGACAAAGCACTATTGCCAAGCGTTCAAATGCCACACCCTTAAGTAGCACAAAAAAAACATCTGGGAAGACTGTGTCTACCTCCAAGGCAGGGACGAAACCAGCAGAGAGACGGCAGGTGAAAGAGGAAGGTTGTGTGTCCCTGAAAGCTGAGCACCAGAAGGAGAGCAGAAGGAGCAGCCGACACGCTGGACAGACTGAGGTGACCCCACGAGGACCAGTGACTCCAGGCCATTCTCCAGGATCGTCCGGCCTTGAAATGAAGGCTGACACTGGGCTGGGTGCCCAGCCTGCGTGTGATAGTCAGGGAGAAACTGGTGTGCTGTCTCACGGATTAAACTGTCCACTTCTTCCAGAGACTTGTGTCTCAGGTGAAGAAAAGAAAAACGAAGCTCTGATGGAATATAAAATCAAGAGTGTTAGCAGCCCATTGTTTAAGTTTTCAGATAAGGAGGAAGATGAACAGAAGGATTCTGTTTTGAGTAAAATGGATGAGACTGTTGAGGAAAGGATGGCAAAGGAAAAGCTTGAACAAGAATCAAAGGATATAGTAAAATTATCCCATGAAGATGACCAAATTATTGAGGAGCCTGAATGTTCTGCTGTTACTTCTAGTGATACAGTGTATATAAATACAGATAGCACAGAAAGGAATGTTGCTGGTTTGTCTACTTCAGTGGGTGAGGTGACTGAATGCCATTTGGAACTGAATACCATGGGTGTTGAGGAAGCTGAGAACTCCCTTCAGAGACATGCAACAGAGTTGCCAGGTTGTGCAGACACAGAGTCCAGTGATGCACTGTTGAAGAGCACAGAGTTTAATAAATCAGCGCTAGAGGTGGTTGGTGCTAATGTTTTTGAGCCAGAAGATGTTTTAGAAAATGCTGTTTGCAGTGTGCCTGACAAAAATTCAAAACAATTGAACATTATTGAAAGTGTTCAAATGGAGTCTCAGGAGACAGCAAATGTTCAGAATGATAGAAGCAGTCAGTCAAATAGTATTTCTTGTGTAGAGTCAAAAAACAAATCTAAACATATAAAACCTGTAACTCATTCTAAGCAAAACATGACCACAGATACTCTGAAGAAAATTGTTGCAGCAAAGCAAGTAGTGCATAACAAAACTAATGTCAAAAATGCAAAACGAAATGCTGATGAACCAGAATCTCAGCAAAATTTCCATAGGCCAGTTAAAGTGAGGAAAAAAATTGATAAGGAATCAAAGACAAATTCTGGGATTAAGGCTGTGAAAAGCCAAGCTCATTCTGTATTCAAAAAAACATCACAGGATCAAAACTCAGTGCAGACCTCTAAACCTTTAACACATTGTTTGGGTGACAAACTTCTTCACAGTCATCCTAGTCCTGCTCAAACGGGACACTCACTACATTCCAGCCACAAGCCATGCTCTAAGCCTCAGCAGCAGGTCCTAGCAGCTAGAGTTCCCAGTCACGGGAGAGAAGAGTCTGACCACACAGGCCCTGAGCACTACAAGGAAGAGGATAAGCTGAAACTGAAAAAGCCGGAGAAGAACCTGCAGCCTCGTCAGAGAAGAAGCAGCAGAAGTTTTTCTTTGGACGAGCCCCCATTGTTTATTCCAGACAACATAGCGACTGTAAAAAGAGAAGGTTCTGATCATAGCTCCTTATTTGAGAGCAAATCTGTGTGGGCTCCCAGCAAGCAGTGTGGGTTTTGCAAAAAACTACATGGCAACAGGTGTGTGTGCGTGCATATGAATGATGTGTATATTAAAGAAAAATTGTATTTTTGGAGGGTGGGATTGGTCTGAGAACTGTAAGAAATGGTTTAATATGTAAAGACTTTGGCACAAGCAACAAAAACCTTCATCAGTCCTGGAAAATGATAGAAAGATGGAGCTACTTGAATTCATAAGTTTGTCACTCTATTACATTTTAAAAGATAGTTTGATCAACAGCTGGTATAACATGAAATGTTTTGTCATTGTAATCAGAGAGTGTAATTTAGTCATTGCATTTGAATATAAAACCAAAGCCTTTTTGCAGATCAGAGAAATGTTATGCTTCTTGGGGACTGCATTTTAATTGGCCTGAGAAGAACTAGTAATAAAATGTAAAGGTGATAATGGAAATCCTACTTTTCATTTGAAAGTTTTTTTTTAAAAGATGCACATTAAAGACAATACTGTCATCTCGAAACTATCAAACTTGATCTTGTAATAAAATTGATAGCTAAAACAACTGTTTGATAACCCAGAATTTGTATGTAACATGAAATACAGTGAAAATATATGTACTATTGAATTGTTTCAGTGATTGCAAGAATTTCTTATGAATTCAGATATTCAAAATTTTTGAGTTGATTTTAGCGTTGCTTTTGATTATTTTTTAGGATTCCATCTTTAATAGTTTTATGACATTGCCTCCCCTGCCCCAGTGTATTTCTTTGTTTGCTATCTTTTTTAAGAAAAGGAAAACGAGATGAAGTGGAATGTGCATCTACAAGATTGTCCTGATCCAATGTTAACGCTGTTGTTGGAGCTTCTATCATTATTGATAAGATAAAAAGAATGTTAATGTTAGAGTGACTTTTCCCACCAGTATTAGATTACATAAAAATTAAACTCAAAATTTAGAGAGGGACAATCTAGTAAAGTATTTTGTAATACTTATTTTGGTGGGAAGGGATTAGTTGGGGAGAATGGGAGGGGGAGGTATGGGGCTGTTTTCTGAAATACAAGTTTTATGTCACAAGTCTTTTCTATTTATGATTTGAGTCCAACCTCTAGTTTTAATGCTGGAGGTTATTTTATAACAAAGTATAGTACATTTTTAAATATTGTGATACTGTATTAGTTTTAGGCATAAGAGAGTTAAGGTTAGAATGGTACTAGTAAGTGCCGATTAATAAAAGCCACTTTCATTCTGCTTGAGTATTCTAATGTCATGCTGAAGTGGTTAGAGAAGTGGACACTTGGCCATCAAGTATGTCATACTAAAACTTCATTAGATACTAAGTGTTCTGGTGACCCAGTCCTCAGGAGTTTGCCCAGATGTTTTTTTTTTTTTTTTTTTTTTTGTTATTGTTGTTTGAGACAGTCTCACTATGTAGTCTAGGGTGAACTTGAACTGACTGTGTAGTCCAGGTTTACCTCGGACTTGCTATGCTTCTCCTGCCTCAGCCTCTCCACTGCTGGGATTTCAGATGTGCGCCACCATACCTGGCCTTCCCCAGATTCTTTAGTGTTGGGATACCACTTCATCAACATCAGTAGTTGTTTTTTTTTTTTTTTTTTTTTTTTTTGTCTTTTTCATTTTTATCGGTACCAAGGATCGAACTCATGACTGCCTGCTTGCAAGGCAGGTGCTTATGCGGCTGAGCTAAATCCTAGCCCCAGTAGTTATTTTTTAAAGTCAGATTTAGGTATTAGTTTTGTTTAAAAATTTTTTTTTTTTTTTTTTTTTTTCAGAACCAGGGATCCAACTCACAACCTTGGGCTTGCCAAGTAGGCGCTTATGCCGCTGAGCTAAATCCTCAGCCCTAAAAAAATTTTTTTATAACCTAGTGCAATCTTTAGAATCTTCTCTATAAAATCTGGTTTCACTGCTCCGAGTCTGGAAAATGACTTACAATATAGATGTTCAATTTACATAAACTGACACGTAAAACAGTCCTTTGGGAAGAGCTTTTCAGTTTACTCCAGTGTTGTCAGGAAAGAAGCTTGGGTGATTAATACTGAACTAGTCTTCACTGCTGCTTTATGTCATATTTGCATATATTGAATTTACTAAAAATGTACCTTTCACAGAATCTATAATTTTCCTATTTTAACTCACATGGGGTATAAATTTATTAGCATATTAGGATATACATTTATTAGCAAAATAGTAATTTTAATCCTTTTGATGCACTCATCACATTGAAGAATGTTCCTACAATGAAGGTGACATTTTCTAGCACTTATGACAGCTTTTCTTCTGTAAAGACCATTTAAATTTAAACTCTTTAGTACTTACACATTTTGCAGCTGGACTTAGTTTCATTATGCATCCAGTGGGAAGTTGTATTTTGTAATACGGACGCTTAGGGCGTATCCAGATGATAAGCAGCTTCTGTGTATTCTGACAGTAGATACTCATTCTTTACTATGTTATTCTTTTGGTGTCATTTCCCTGATTCAGCATTATAACAAACACATATTATTGTAAAAACTAGACTGTTTAGTCCTATGGGTTTTTTAGAGGGTGGGTACCGGGGATTGAACTTACGATCCTGCACTTGCAAGGCAGGCATTTATGCTGCTGAGCTAAATCCCTGGCCTTTGTGTTTATTTTTTTTAATGTGACTTTTAAATGTATTTGGCATTTTGAAAAGAACAAGTCTGTGTCTTTTCAGGTTATCTACCTTGTGATTTCCATTTTCCTACTTCTCCAAAAGACACTTGCATCTTTCTAGGACCATATTATAGACTGGGTGAAATTTTTAAACACAAAATCTCAGCAAAATAAGTTGTTTTAGACACTCAAACAAGAAAACTTTCACAAAAGGAAATTTATTTCTAAAATGATTTTTACCCTTTTCCAGGATTTTAAGCATTTTATAGTATTCTCTGCAGATTAAGTTGTGAATAACCATATAATGCTGCATAGAATCCTTGCATCTCTGATGCAGTGAAGACACACATAGTCCCATAACATGGTCTAGGACTGTCACTTAAAGACCCACCTTGGGTAGCACTTAGGATGCTAGTGAGTTTTTGGCATGTGTTTGTTCAGATTTGCAGTCTTCAGAGTCGCTTGTGCTGTTTACTTTGAAAACAAGTTGAAAATTTCCTAGTCATATGTTTAGCTTTTTGCCTGAAATACAGATTAGAATTTTTAAATTGGTTTATTGTTTTATAGTAGATCTAGTTTAGTTTTTGTCTTTGTGTATGAACATATAATAGAAGACAACACAAGTATTGCTGCACTCTTCAGTTAACTGACCTGGAGCTAAACATCACATAGTGTTTGTTCATTGGTAGTCAGATTTACTGTGCATGTTACAGTATTTTTCCTAAAGTGATTTCCTTTCTTGGTAATCAGAAATTCAAGGACAGAGTCAGAAATGAGAGAAGCGTTGTGAGCCAACCCCCATCGCTGCAGTTAAGTCTCATACTGTCTCATGTCTCGTCTTAAAGTAGAGCAGTACATTGAAAGAAAAGTATATTTTCTGTGTGAAGCCCCCCTTTTTTAAAAACAAAGTTCATGGTACTTGCCAGTGTTAGACTCAAAAGTAAAGAGTACTTATATTTTTGGATGATCAATTTTGTTTTAAAATGAATTTTACTTTCCTATAGGATACAGGCATTGTCATTTTTCTTGATTTCTCAGAAAATTCTATTTAACTGCACTGTTTTACATTAAACCCAGTGTTATGTTTTTATTTTTTTATTTTTGGTACCAGGGATTGTTACCTTAATAGTTTAGAGGTTTGCTTTTCTGGCCTCTTTGAGTGGGAAGTTTTCAGAAAAAACAAAACAGACCGAGGTATAGTAAATGATAAATCTTATGGTTATAAAGATGAAGTAAAATAAAAGTTTGAAAACACTTTTTGTGCTTTGTAATTTGACATTTAGAATTGGAATTGGGACAGAAGCACAGTCTGGATTTCTAGTGAAACCTTCCCCCATTCCAGACTTGCTTTGAAGAAATCGTGATAAGAGTCCTGATTATGGGAGTAAAGGGTACCACCATTTGCTGCTTTCTTCAGTATCTCCAGGCTGTTCATGTTAGATGATTGCTTTCAAGAAATAATTCTTTTAACTTTACAACCTGAAGTGGAAGAATATTAAAGCACCTGTATTTACAACATATTCTTGTTGACTGGAATATTGGATTTGAAACATGAAGCCATCAAAATTAATTATGAAGCCTAGAGAAACTTTGTCTTAACAAATGCTGCATTGTTTGAAAGTTTTCTTAATTGGCCTTGTGAATCCAAAGCATTTTGTGTTTGTATTTTTTAACTTTTTTTCTGGTACTGAGGATTGAACTCACGACCTTGGGCTTGCAAGGCAGGTGCTTACACTGCTGAGCTAAATCCTTGGCCTTATTTGTATTTTTTAAACTGAATTTATTGTTGGGAGGATGAGTAACAATGATAAAGCTAGCAAAGTATCACTAGTGAGGGTTAAAAGTGTGCGAAGACACGAAGAAGCCTTAGAGCATGGCAGTAGTTTGGCACATGATGGAAAGGCATGAAAGGAAGAGAAGAAGAAACGCTGCTTCAGAAGCGTGACTTTGCAAATATCTTGGCAGGATAGTGTTCTGATGATTGTCGTTCTAGCATTCTAGTAGAACTTCTGCTGGTTTTAGAGCCAGTTAGCCAGCCCTGTCACTCAGCATCCTTCCTGGGGCACTAAAATTTTTCAGTTGAGGCTGGTGATGTCACAGCTAAGAAAATGAGTAGCACAAAATCTTCGTGTTTAAGGAACATACTTGAACATACTTCAAACATGAATTACTGGCTGAACAAAAAGGAAAGTCAAACATGAATATATGAAGTGAGCTTTATAGCTTAGTAGATTAAAAAGTATGTAAAAGAATAATTTCCCTTGTCACTATATATCTTGTGACTTCAAAAGTTAACTTAAGTTTTCTGTGTTACAGAAGCTTTTTGTCTTTTTGAGGCAGGGTGTCGCTGTGTGGTTCAGGTTGGCCTTGGGCTCATTGTGTAGCCTAGGCTGGTCTTGAACTTGGCAGTATTACAGGAGTGTGCTACCACGCCCAGCTATATGGAAGCTTTTTTAGAGTAACAAATCTTGTGCTTCTGCTGTTAGGTTATTTCTTTTTTTTCCCCTCCCTTTAGGTTATTTCTTACTTAAAATGCAGTGAAGGGAAAACAGCCCTCAGTAGATACCCAAAACACATCGACAGTAGTAGTAAGAAAATCCTCCTTCCGCAAGTGCCTAAGAAGATTTTCCAACTGAACCTGAGTAACACCCTTTCTCTGTGTAGTTTGAGTTTAAGTTAAAGTGATTAATAAACAGTTTGGGAGACTATTAAGTTTTTAACTTACCTTGCTGCTTGCTTATTGTCATGTGGCAATCTTGTCTAAAGAGTTCTTAACACAGTTGTATGTGTTACAGATTTTAGGTAATACAGGTGTAACTTGAATGGGTGGTGATGAAATTAGCAGACAGCAAATTACCATCCTTCACTGAAAAGAGCTTGTGCTTTGTTGTTTACATTCTATATTTCCAGTGCTCTGTTTTTAATTCTGTGGAGTCCTGTCCCAGCATTTTCTAACTTGTACCAGAGGAGCAATATTTGAAGTCTTTTTTTTTTTTTTTTTTGTCTTTTTCATTTTTATTGGTACCGGGGATCAAACTCACGACTGCCTATTTGCAAGGCAGGTGCTGAGCTAAATCCCCAGCCCCCAATATTTGAAGTCTTTAAAGGTTCCATTTGCATAGAATAGCCCTTGGATGCTGCTCCCTGTGGGACTTGAGGAATGGGTTGAGATAGAAAACATGCAGAATAACAGAAAGTCACATGGAAAAGATTATGTTAGTCTCACTTTGAACATTAATTTTTAAAAATACCTATTTCTGCTTTTTTTCCCCTCAGGTTTATGGTTGGTTGTGGGAGATGTGATGACTGGTTTCACGGCGATTGTGTTGGACTAAGTCTTTCTCAAGCACAACAGATGGGAGAGGAAGATAAAGAATATGTGTGTGTGAAATGTTGTGCTGAAGAAGATAAAAAGACTGAAAATTTAGACACAGATTATTTTGAAAATCAAGGTACAGTTGAAGCTCATAGTGAAGATAAAAAAATGGAATATGAAAAACTTGGATTATCAAAGCACATGACAACAAATGACAAAACCAAATGTACAGATGATGCAGTGAAGCACAAGGTCAAAATTTTAAAACGGGTATGCTTTCCATTAATTATGTATTGTTATTTATAACTGTGAACTGTGAAAATTTTGAAATTTCTTTATAGTGTTTTGGTATATATTTTTAAATGTACTTTGTATAAGGATATACTGATTCTTATTTGGATTTGTTTAGCATTCTGAGAGAAACCAGGTAGTGACATATTCAGAGCATGCAACTTATTTCCCATTATCTTTTGTACCAAGTTTAGGCTGTAGTTTGATACTAAATTTTCTGAGATAAAATGTGTATGAATGTGTGTTACGATCTTAGCTTTTCACTAGGCCTGTAATCCTATACTCTAGGATACTGAGGTAGGAAAGTTTTAAGTTTGCGCTCAGCCTGGACTCGTTAGTGACTTTAAACCCTGTCTCAAAATAAGAAACTGGAGAAAGGTCTGGGTGTGTAATTCAATGGGAATGATAATAGATTTGGATACTGGTACTACAAACAATAACTTTTTAGACTAAATATCTACCACCCTTTAACCATTTGGCAATAGTGTTTTCTGGTTGGAAGAGTTTTGTGAAGAGTTATGTTTTTTGCTTTTTTTTTTTTTTGCATCTCATAATTTTTGTCTTAAAATGTGAAGTCATAGATAGTTGTCAGTTTTCCCTGGTCTTACATTTATATTTTAGCTATTCTGAAAGTATGTTTAAAATAGTTCCAGGGGCTGGGAACTAGCTTAGTGGTAGAGTGCTAATATGTGTACTGTGTATAAAACCCTGGGTTTGATCCTCTGTATCACTACACACACAAAAAGGAATACACTTTATGATATTTTGTCTTTAACTAGAGAGATGCACAAAGGATGCCCCATTTTATCTGATTAAATTTTGTTTATTTCTACTGTATTTTTATTGCCTGTACTTTTTCTAACTCTTGGTTGGTTATAGAGTCCTGCTGGAGAGGAAACAGTAGGAATAAATTATAAAAATAGACTAAGTACAGTGATCCAAGAGACAACATGAATTTAGAGCTGGAAAGAAGCTATAGAAATTTCTTAATCAAAATGTTCCAATTCTTTACTGTGTTCTACAGCATTTCTAGGAAGAGAAATTCTAATTTTCATTTGAAAAAGTGTTAAAGAATATGTTTTCACTTTAGTAGATCTGATTATTTGAAAGTTTTTCAATTTCAACTAAAATCACATCCCTGAAAAAGTGTAGTTTTCTAAAGCTGCCTTTTTAAAGCTGATTATTCCAGCTAATAAAGGTAAGTAATTCAGATTGAAGAAGACAAGGTTAGAGCCAGGCATACCCCTGTAATCCCAGCACTCTGGAGGCTGGGGCAGGAGGAGCGCTGTGAGGGCTACAAAGCGAGTGAGTTCAAGGCCAGCCTGAATTGCGTAGTGAGACCCTGTGTCACAAAGGCCAAAAACCCAAAACAACAATCAGCATAAGTATTTGTCTGATACTTTTTGTTGCTTTGCTCATTTGGCTAGCGTCAAAGTAATAGATAATAAAGATCTGAGAGCCCCATTAAGAACAGTTTATATCAGGTCTTTGGGAATTATTATGTATCATTACCTTTAATCATTATCTTTTATGTATAACTTCTTCACCATTTAAAAATGTATTATGAGTCTTTTGCCTGACAAGACATGATAAGACATCAATTTTGTTAATATATTGAGAAATTTCTCTATCTAGTATTTATATCAATAAAGAAAAGCTGATTTTGTAAATATATCTGTGAAATGATCATTACTTTTTATGGTGAACTATCAAATCTTTCTGATGTTAGTCTATAAAGAATGCTTTTCATATGTCATTTTTTATCCTTGCATGTTTATATCAAATCATTTATTGAGTTTCTATTGTGTGGTGAACATGGCACATTCAGATTTAGCATATACATTTTTTTTTTTTTTTTTTGGTACTAGAGATTGAACTCATGACCTCAGGCTTGCTAGGCAGGCGCTTATGCCACTGAACTAAATCCCCGGCCATAGTATATTCATTGAAATTTGTTCCTGCACTGAAGGTAGTTTAGTTGGTGAGGTAAAAAACATGCAAAGAGATAATTATACGATTTCTGTTCTAGAGAAAATAGGGTATATAACTTTGTCGTAAAAACTTAGGACTGTATAACTGTGTACACTAGTGCAGTGGTGTGATTAAATTCCCTCAAGTCTCAGGATTCCAGTTCATTAGTACAGCCTCAGTTCACAGATTTGATTCTTTTTCATTATTCTGGTTGCAAATCACTGAGTTGGATGAGAACCAGGTAAAACTTAGTGGTTTGGTTCAGTGTTGATCTTACAGAGAAATGTAGTTCAGTTCTCGTTAGTTCAGATTGCAGCCAGAATTGTGGAGATAAGTGAGTTCATGAACCGAGGTGTACTAGTACTACTGTGTAGGCTATAATTAGGGCCAGAGTCACAAGTATGCTGCTGGTTTATTCTCGCCCATGATGTTTAAACACACTGAGAGCTTCTCTGACGCGCTTACTATCAGCAAGCGTGACCTCATTTGCTTTAGCAATACATTGAGAAATAGAAATGCTCGTTTCTCCACAATTTCTTTTCTTGTGTCTACAGTCAGAAGCTGTTTATTACATTATACCTAACTTTGTTACTAACATTGTTTGGAATATGATCAGTGTGTTACTTTTTTCCTCCTTGTAACCCATTGCATGTTCTGCAGAAAACAAATGTTTATCACCAGATTTTGAGTGAGAGTGAATCTTTTTATTAATGATGGGTTTTTGTACATTTTTTGAAAAACTTTAGATGTTTGACTAAAATAAAGTTGCTTCACGTGTTATAATACTAATTTGATTTAAATGGTTTTTTATCTGTGTACTTTTTAGTTTTTTGAGGGAGGCTTTTGCTCTGTAATTCAGATTGGCCTTGAACTCCATGGCACAAGCTGGCCTCAGACTCATCATAACTCTCTCTGCCTCAGCCTCTTGAATGCTAGGATTACTGGCATGTGCCACCACGCCTGGCATTTATCTATGTGTCACTGATGCTTGTTTTTTCTTTAAAGATTATTTAGTGGTTTTTGAGGTTAATGAATTACATACTGTTTTTCCAGGAATCTCCTGAAGGCAGAAATTCATCAGACTGTAGAGAAAATGAAATAAAAAAATGGCAGCTAGCTCCTCTTCGAAAGATGGGACAACCAGTTTTACCACGGAGATCCTCCGAAGAAAAAAGTGAAAAAATACCGAAAGAAACTACAAACATTATTTGCACAGCTTCAAAACCAGGTAGTGAGATTAATAGAAATTGTTATGTATTGATTTATTTATATCTTGTTTCACACACAGTTATTTTTTAGTAGATCCTAACTTATGAATGAGTTCCATTCAGGGAGAGTGTAAGTCGAATTTGTTCCTACTCCCAATAAAGTGAGTCTCATGTTACTAGCTGTGACTGTTACACAGTATGCCTGTGAAAGTTTGCAAGTCCTGGACTGCTGTATTTAGGGAAATTTTTTAAATTAATGTTTTAATAATGAAGGTGTTTAGATGACTGGTCATACTGTAAATGAAAAGGGTCACTGAATCGTGAGGAAGCAGTAGTGAACCTCTGGCTTTGCCTCAGCAGCACTGTGTACTTCTGGGAGAAGGCAAGCTGTAAGCAAATGGAACATTCTCTTAGAGACTTAAGAAAAAGTATGCTAATAGGATAGAGAGCTGCAGTAAGAGAGATAGGTAGAAACTTCTGTTTTAGAAGGAGGGAGGTGGTAACTTGTGGAATTTGAGAGGATACAGAGATTTTTGTAGGAGGCTATAGGTGAGGGACCCAGTAAATTTAAGCTTTGAGGTTGATACAAGCTTGGCATTTATTGGAGGAAGTCGTTGTGAGGGGATTGGAAAGTAATGCATGAGATACAGAATAATAGAAGAGGAGGTAGAGAAGAGTTTTATTCTGAATATTAAGGGAAACATTCAGAAAGCTTTACAAGGAGTACTCTGTGAATACTAACCTGTAGGAGGCAGGAGAAAAAGCATACCAACTAGGAGTGTAAACCAGTATCTTCTGTAAGAATTGGTGGTGGCGGGTGACAGTTATACATTGGAGGTAGTGAGAAGTGATAGGTTAAGATAGCTTTCATAGTAGAGTTGTCAGGACTTGTGGTGGACTAAAGTAGATGAAAGAATCTTAGAGGATATCTGGGTAAAATGTTGGTGTAGAGATGAGGAAAAGATTGGGCGAGGAAGACTGAAAATTTATGGTCGGTAAAACTTAGATGTCCAGGTAGAGTTATGTGAGCATACCTTTGGAAGACTAGTCAGGAGCTGATGGGAGAATTTGGAGGCAGTTGCATACATGTAGGTCTCATAGTGCATAGTAGTTACTTAAAATCATAGGTGTAGATGTAAACAGTTACAGAGTTCTGTAGTAAAGAAGCAGAAACAGAGCCTGTAGAGCACCAGCATTGGAATTTGGGGGAAGAGGTTCTGGCAGCGGAGACAAGGCAAAAGAGGTGAGGCAGCCTGTTAGGGAAGAGGAGAGCTGGAAAACCAGGTGGCCAGGAGCCAGCAAAGCCAGGTGCAGTTTTGTCAGTATATCCAGACATCTAATAAAATGAACACACTGTTAAACTTATGATTTAATAAAAAAGATATAATTGTCTGGTGTGGTGGTGCATGCACATCATCCCAGTACTTGGAGGAGAAACGCGGGAGGATTGCCAGGAGCTTGACATTAGCTTGGACTACACAGCGAGACTGTCTCAAAAGAAACACAGAAGGAAAAACAGTTCATTCATTGATAAGTAGAATGACTTTGGTGGAGCAATAGGTGCAAAAACCAATAGTAGTTTATAGAAGAATGTAAAGGTAAGGAACTGAAAGCATTTATTGCAGATAACTTAAGGAATTTTGCTGTTCTAGGCAACAGAAATGAGGGGTGTGTGTATGTAGTCAAGGAATTGGTTAAAGACGATACTATGGCATGTGTATTTTTTCAAGAACCAGTAATTGAAGAGACTTTTTTCCAGTGGAAATTCTTGATTACCTTTATTAAAAATTGATTGTAAGCTTGATATGTTGGCACATGCTTGTAATCCCAGCACGTGGGTGGCTATGGCAAGAGGATCACCACCAGTTGAAGGCCAGTCTGAATAACAGCCAAGACTGTTTAAAAAAAAAATCATTTCTGAATTGTCTGTAGTGTCCCATTGGTTTATGTGTCTGTTTTATGCCATTGCCATGCTGTTTTGGTTACTGTTACTCCGTTGTGTATCTTGAAGTCAGATATTGTAATGTTTTCAGCTTTGTTCTCTGCTCAGGATTGCTTTGGCTCTTTTGTAAGTCTTTTGTGATTCCCTGTAATTTGTAGGAGTATCCTTTTCTATTTTTATGGAAAATGTTATTCATATATTGTTAAGGATTATGTTGAATCTGTAGGTTGTTTTGGATAACCTAGACTTTTAACAGTATTTCAGTTTGTATATATACGGGTTTTGGGAGCGAGTCTTCAATTTGTTTTACCAATGTTTTGTACTTTTTGTCACAGAGATCATTGACTTTCTTGGTAGATAGCTTCATTCTAGGTAGCTATTATTTTTTGTAGCCATTGAGAATGGAATTGCTTTCTTGACCTCTCAGCAATTTCATTTCCTAAAATTTTTATTTTATAAAAAGCTATAGATTTTTATATATTGATTTTGTATTGTGCAACAATATTGACTCATCATTTCTGAGAGGTGTCTAGTTAAGTCTTAAGGTTTTTTAATATACAAAATCCTGTCAATTGACCTCCTCCTTTCTTCTTCCTTTTGTCTTATTGCCCTGATCAAATCTGAACGTTTCTGAGCATCTTTTTAAAAATTTTCAGACTTGAGATTTTGGCTTTAGGGATGCTCACTCTATAGTAGGGAGTACTGTATATTGTCAGGTATGGAGGGGCGCTTTGCTGACCACATGGTGTGTTACCATGTTTCTGTTTCCTCAGTGTTGAGTGGGCAAATCAAAGGAGGGTGAAGGTGGAAGGCAGTTGCTCCTGGTTTAAGAAGAGGAGAAAACAGTGTGAAATAGATGATTTGAAAAGTGAAAGAGCAGGCTCGTTGGCAAATTTTAATGGGGCTGGGCATTGAGTTCCTTGCTTGATGTTTATGATTATGAATTTTAAATAGGATCTGTAAGTGCCAGTGCTTATTTATCTATAGTGTATTCATATGTTTGTTGCCTGTTTGTGTGAAGAATAAAAATTGGCTTTCATCAAGGTCTGAGACGTTTAAAGGGGAGAATAAAGGTAGTACTTGTGCAGGAAAGTAGTAATAGGGTTGTACTGTCTGATTTTTGTGGGGTTTTGTGGTGAAGTGAAGCCATGAAGATAGTAAAAATGATAGACTTAATTGTTGGAGTAACAAGTACATGAAAAAAAATGCTTAATATTTCTCTAATCATCAGACAAATGCAAATTGTGACTGCAGTGAGATTGTCACCTCATCCACGTTGAAATAACAGTTGCTGGTGAGGCTTAGGAAGATATGCACGTCCTTGGTGGGACTGCATGTTATCATAGCCATTATGGAAAACAGTAGATCCCCTGTATGATCTAGGTATAAGTACTCCTGGTTATATATCCAAAGACAATGAAAGTACGTTGGAGAGACATCTGTACACCCATCTTCATGGTGGCATTATTCACACTGACTAAGATATGGAAGTGTTCAGCAGTTGAATGAGTAGAAAAATGTGACATACATTCACAATCGAGTAGTATTCTGCCATAAAGAAGAATGCGGTCCCATTATGTGCCACAACATGGGTGGAATGGGATGCATACTCTCACTGATGTTTGGAATCTGAAACAGTTGATCGACATAGAAGCTGAGAATAGAATGTTGATTAACAGACTTGAGGAGAGCGGGGTTCAGGCATGCATAGGGAAGTCTGATCAGTAGGCACTGAATTAGTAGTTAGAAAGTTGTGTGGTGTTACACAGGAGGAGATTATAAACAGCAGGAATGTTCTGTATATATGTGTATACATGTTCTGTATAGAAAGCTAGAAAGGATTTTGAATATTTTCACCATTAACTAATGGCAAATGTTGAAAGAGGTAGATATGTTTAATCTCATTCAAATATTACATAATGTGTGCATGTACCAAAACATTACATTGTACCCCATTAATATGTGTAATGTTGTTTTTATGTATTAGTTAAAACAATTTAAACCCAGTCTCACAAGAAATAATATGAAGAATCAACAACTGGCTCTCATCCTATTAAAAAGCTTTTGTGCAGTAAAAGAAATTAGCAACAGTGTGAACCCACAGAATGGGAAAAAATTTTAAGCAGTTATCTCTCTGACAAAGAACTTATATCTGGAACATATAATTTTAAAAAATCAGATTCCCTAAATTTAAAGACTCAATCCAAAATGAGCATCTGAGCTGAATATACACGTGTATCTCAGATGAAGAACTATAAATGGCAAATAAATATATAAAAACATGTTCAATATCATTGATCGTTTGAGAAATGCAAATTAAAACAATACCAAGATCCATCTCTAGAAAGAATAGCTGTCATGAAGAAATCAACCAGTAACAAATGCTGGTGAGGTTGTGGGGAAAAAGGAACCCTTTCCCACTGTTGGCGGAGTATAGACTGGTGCAACCACTGTGTGGAAATCAGTGTGGAGATTCCTCAAAAAACTAGGATTAGAGGTCTCATTTGACCCAACTATTCAATCCCTTCTGCATATCTTCAGGGAAGATTTTAAAATATATCAGAGAAATATACACATACCCATGTTTTTTTAATAGCAGCATAATTTATAATAGCTAAATCTTGAAAACAACCCAAATGCCCACCAACTAAGGAATGGATAAAAAAGAGGTGATCTTTTTATTCAGTGGAGTGCTATTCAGCCATAAGGATAAACTTGAGACATTCTAGGTAAATGGATGAACCTTGAGACCATACTCTTTAAGTGAAATAAATCGGACTCACATGTGTAAATAATGCATTGTCTCTCTTGTGTGAGAAACTGAAAGAGCAAATAAAGTCTTGATCAATATATACTGTGAAATGGGAAGAAATTGTTAAAAAGGTAAGAGGAACTGGGAAGAGGGCAAAGAAGGAAAAAAAGATTGAAAACACAGAAACAAAGCTTAGTATGTTATAGGGAAGGAAAGGGGTTAAAGAGAGGGAAGGGGATTGGGAAAAAGAATCAAAATATTCTGTGGGGTGAATGTGGTCCATTATGCATATCTAAAATGTACCAGTAAACTTAGAGTTAAAAAAATGCAAAAAACAGAAAATGCCCAAAACAAATGAGAGTTTGTAGAATAAGTGAGCCGATATAATATACATTAGAGTAGTATGATATTTGACACTGAGACTTCGGAGATTTATGGGAATTAGTAGTGATAGAAAAAAGCGATAAGCCTAACATTCAATTTTTATGATATTTGTAAGGTCATTAAATGGTGCTGTTCACCTAATAAGTTCAGGTCAAATAGCTTTCTAATGTACATATAGTTAATTAACATATGCATGTGAAAAGCAGCTCTTCGCTATTATCTAAATTGGGGGAAAAGCGTATTTGTAGCTTTATTTTTTTGGGGATGGTGCTGGGAATTGCATACTAGACAAATGCTCTACCACTAGACTGCACCCCCAGCCCAGTTTATAGCTTTTTTTTTTTTTTTTGTACTGGAGATCAAACTCATGACCTCGTGTTTGCCAAGCAGGCATTTATGCTGCTGAGCTAAACCCCTGGTCCCAGTTTATAGCTTTTTGTTTTGTTTTGTTTTTAATCTGTACCTATATAATCTGTTACTACAGTCTAGTTTCTTTCTTTCTTTTTTTTTTTTTTTTTTTTTTTAATTTTTACAAATTTTTTTATTGGTACTGGGGATTGAACTTACGACCAGGCACTTGCAAGGCAGGCACTTAAGCCGCTGAGCTAAATCCCCAGCCCAAGTTTATAGCTTTTTAATCACCATTAATTTTCATTAGATTTCAGTGTCAGGAATATGTCAGTGTAGTGTAGGTTCTGATTTAAGTGAGGACTATGGATTATAGAGATTTATCAGTTAATTTTGATTACAAATTAATGTTCATTAAAATGTTATGAATTTTTGTTGAAATCAGGTACTCACGAGAAGCAGGAGGTGAAGAGGAAGAAAGTGGAGAAAGGAGTGCCCAGCGTGCATCCTGCTGCTCCCCGTGCCTCAAAGCCTTCTGCGGATCAGATCAGACAGAGCGTCAGGCACTCTCTGAAAGACATTCTTATGAAAAGGTAACACACTATTATTGCAGAAGATTCAGTGACTTGCTTCATGTGCCCTAAAGCTAATTGGATTGTTCTGATTTTAAGGCTTACCGAGTCAAATTTGAAGGTACCAGAAGAAAAGGCAGCAAAAGTTGCCACAAAAATTGAAAAAGAACTTTTCTCCTTTTTTCGGGACACAGATGCTAAATATAAGAACAAATATAGAAGTTTGATGTTCAATCTAAAAGATCCTAAAAACAATGTGAGTATGTTTTGTTCGTGTCTATAGATATTTATGCTTTCAGCTTTCTTGTTTACATTGAGATTGAGTGTAATAGTGTAGATGCATAGTTTATTAATCAGAACCATACTGTAGAGTTACTATACCTCTTGGTTTAGAACGTGTTCTGTTTTGTCTGTTCCATTCTGTGTGGTGCTGGGTATGGAATCCAGCATATCACGTGCAGAGCATCCCTCACTCAGCTGTATCCCTAGTTCATGATTATATGCTTCTAGTAAATTCTCTTGGAATCAGTGCCTGGACTCTGCATAGTTATGAGTAGTGTTGTATAGTGCTGTTGAAATACTATTCATCTTATCCTGATAAATGTGAAATTTTTTTTCCTTGACTCTCCCTTGTATAATGCATATTATTATTTTTTGGAGGGGGTTTCAGGAATTGAACTCAGGATCCTACGCTTGCTTGGCCAGCACTGTGCCACTGAGCTATATCCCCGGCCCTATAATGCAATGCATATTACTTAAAAAGTTCACTCGTGTTTTCTTTAGAAACTATATAAAGCTAAACTTCATTAAAGCTTTGCTATTACTTTTGATGCAAGCTTAAAAGAGCACTGTATTCCTTAAAAATGTAAATTACATTTAGAGTAGAAAGAAGAAAAAAACCTAAAACTCTGGGCCTGGTCCACATGCATTTTTAATTCCAGCTGCTTGAGAGATAGGAGAATTGCTTGAGCCTGGGAAACAGAAACAACTTGGGCAAAGAAGTGATACTGTTTCATCAAAACAAAAAACAACCAGTAACAGAACACAGCAACCCTGCATGATGATTTTAAAACTTTTACTAAAATAAACTTTACTTCTTTTAGCAAGGGAGTAAGCATTAATATAATCTCTTTAACCTTTTGAGAGTGAGGAAGTCTAGATAGACCTTTTTTCCCCTACCATTACTAGAGATTAATCCTAGTCTTTTGCACTAAGATACCTTTATCCCTTTTTAAATTTTGAGACAAGGTCTTATTATGTTGCCCAGGCTGGGCTCAAACTTACAGTCCTCCAGTCAGAACCTCCCAGGGTGCCAGTGTACAAGGCTCTAAAGTTCACCTTTGATGAATGTACTGAGCACAGTGTTGCCATTGAATTTTTCAGAATTCCAACATCTTTATGTTACACGTACTTAGATTCAGCAGTAGTTTTTGCTGCAGATGACACCAGGTTACAGAAAGTAATTAAATGTAACCTCCTTTTATGAAGTTTTTGCATAGATTTGTTTAAGGACATTTGCTGCAGTCTAGTCAGTCATCCACATACAGCATATCAAAAATACTTGAAAAATTGCATTCTTACTGAACATGTATACAAATTTGTTTTCTAGTCATTATTCCTTAATAGTGCAGTGTATCAACTGTGAACATAGCACTTACTTAGTGCTACATAAGTAAACCTAGAGATAACTACAGTCTTGTGTTCCTTAACAACGGGGATGCACTTTTAAAAATTCATCATTAGGCAGTTTGGCCATTGGGTAAACATTGCTGAATGTATTTATGTGAACATTTTCTCTTGGTGATAGAATGTTCTGAGTCTATGCATGTCCATTACTGACTGAAGTGTTCCATAGCACATGACTGTATATAGAAGCATGCACAGAAATACGTACAAATAGTGTATCACTCTGTATAAGATACCTAAACATTTGAGGAATTTGCTATCCGTGGGATCCTGGAACTAATACCACTGTGGATACTAAAGGAAAATTGTCTCATTTGAAGTATTCTTTTGAAATAGACAGCTACTTAAGAAAAATCCACACTATGTAGTCTACTGTCACGATCAAGAGGAATTTCATACTTTTTCCGTAGGTTTGTGTTTTTGTAATAGGCTTCATTGTATAGTTCAGACTGATCTTGAACTTAGCCTAGGCTGGCCTCTAACTCACAGTCATCCTCTTGCCTCAGCCTCCCAAATACTGGGATTTCAAGTGTGTACCACTGCGACTGGCTTTAGATACGTCTGGAATTATACAGCCCAGTAGCTTTTCCTTAATAATTAAATATTTATTTCCTTTACATTTTTTTTTTCTTGAAGTTGATCCTTTGTTCTGGGTCCAATTCAAGACCGAATTTAAACAAGCAAAATCTTAAAAATATGAAAGGATTACATTGAGTAAAGAAAAGTCTTTATGTAGTACCTTGCTGCACTGTAATTTGGTTTTGACAGATTTTTGGGTAGACTGTTTACTTGCTTTGGTGCCACTCAGGCTTGAACTTTGGGCCTTCACAGTGAACTACATTGTTTTGCCCATTGAGGGGAAAAAAAACCTGAGAATTTTGAGATAGGGTCTTACTAAAGTCACTGAGTTGTCCAGGCTGGCTTGGATTTGGCATTCTTTTGCCTCAGCCTCCTAGAATGCTGGAGTGACAGGCATTTGACACCGTGCCTAGTCCCTGGATAGACTTGTAGTTTTGTGATTGGTGTATAAGGTTCCACTGTATGTGTTTCCCCACTGTGTTGGTTTTTATATGAAATGTGTATTTTGTTGCCTTAGGATTTGAAACTTTAATCTCTGTAGAGTAATATATAAATCATTAAATATTTGTACATTAGGTATCAGAATTATGTATTAATTACAACTTTATATACCATAGCTCCTTTTTTTAACGTGTTTATCTCCCTATTTCATTTTTATGTCATTTCAGATATTGTTTAAAAAAGTATTGAAAGGAGAAGTAACCCCTGATCATCTTATAAAAATGAGTTCAGAAGAACTGGCTTCTAAGGAGTTAGCTGCTTGGAGACGCAGAGAAAACAGACATGTAAGGAGATCTATAATATATTTGACCTGGGGTTGTAGGTCAGTGGTGTGGGCCTGTGCAAGGTGCTGAGTTTGATTCCTGGTACCAAAAAAAAAAAGTGTTATTTTCCTGTGTTTTTTAGTCATAGGAGAAATTGTACAGAGATAAATCAGTATCCATTAAACAGTAACCCTTTCTGTTATGAAATTGCTTGCTCCTCTGCCCTCCTCTTTTTTTGCTTCCCTATTCCCCTCTGCTTCCGGGCCTTCCCCTCCCTGTTAAGAGTCTCATTATGTTGCCTGTCTGTCCTTTAACTCCTGGACTCAGGTGAGTGTCTTACTTCAGCCTCTCAAGTAGCTCCCACTACTGGTGCACTCCAGTGTAACTGGTTCTGTTTCTTAAATTCTACTGTTTGTTTTTTTCCTTAAATTCTATTCTCATCTCTCACTATATTTTGCAAAGCACCAATGAGTGAACCTTAATCATGTGTACTTTTCATAAATACAGTCTGAAGGTATTATGAATATTGGTAATTTATAAAAGCAGGTAAAGTAAGTCTGAATAAAAATATGTACAAGTTTATAATCCCTTATTAAAAGTTTCAAGTAGCAAAGGCTACAAAAAGACTTTGTTTCTAATCTAATTTATTGATAAAGTCTGTTGAGTTCCACATGTAAATGCATGTAAATGTTCATATTCACAGAAATAGGTTTTTTTTTTTTTTTTGAGGCAGGGTCTCTCTATGCCGTTCAGGCTGGCCTTGGGCTCACTTTGTAACCTAGGCTGGTCTTGAACTAGCAACTATCCTCCTGCCGCAGCCTCCCAAGTGCTAGAATTAAAGCATAAGCCACCACCCCTGGAAAACAGAAATAGTTTTTTAAAAACTTATTTTAAAGGGAATAAAATGAAACAGTAAACCAGAACAAAACAAGACAGTGAGAAAAATACTGGATTTCAAAATGAAAACAGAAGGAAATTCCCCATAGTTGCTGTATTGTATATTGTTGGCCTCTAAATAGATGCTCAGAGTACCAGCTTTAGGCCTGCAAAGTCAATCAAACAATTCAAGCATTGAGATTTTTTTTCTTTTTTTTTTTTACTTTAGTTGCTATCAACTCAGCCTCTGTTCTTAAAATCAGCCAGTTGCTTATGTGGCTGGGAATGGGGATAGGCTCTCCTTGTCTCCTTGGTCTGCATGCTAGCTGGCTAATGGGAGGGTGCTAGTTGGCTTCTTAGTTCTCCTTTCTGCCCATGTGGCTGTCTCTGCCACACGAGAGGGTATGAGTTCACCAGTGCTCTACATTTAATTATACAGTGATGTCAGCTCTAAAAGAACATTGCATAATATAATGTGCACACTACACTGCATTTCTAAAACAATTCTGAAAGATGTAGGTGCCAAGAGTTCTTATTTGGGGATTGTGAATATGGAGTACCTTTAAAGATAAGTCATGTGTGACTTAAAGAGCTATTGTTGGGGAGAGAGCCATATGCTGCAGTATTTTTACTGCAGTTGCGTTGGAATGGTACTTGTTTATTCTAGAATCTATGTGCTTCACCTTTTACCCATGATCCCTGCTGCTGAGCCATTCAGTCTGAAGGCAGATGTATGCCCAGTCTTGTCTGAAGGATGGGAGTCCTTGATTTGATACATCATATTTATCTGTATGTTTCTTCATCTTCGTCTTGTGTAATTTGTCCTCTTTTTATTTTGAAAATACTCTTACTGCTTTTAAACCCCTGTCCTGAACATGCACGTTATGCTGCAAGTGTCCTCTGCACTGGAGATGAGCTTGATTGTGAGCTGTGTAGTGGATTTTTTTAAGGATGATTTGCACTCAGTGGAGGAAAGATAAGTGAGCAAGTCTGTTTTTACCTTCCTTTCCCCATTCTGCCCGTTCCTAGTAGCCTTTTACTGCTTCTGCCATCCTGGCCCAGTGTTCGTTTTGTTGCTGAGAGTTGTCATCAATAATAAACAGGCTCAGTCAGGGCCACTAATAGGAACTCTCATCATTTTTGATTTCTAAATTGCTATTGTAGAGGATGTTAGGATTGAAGAGCAGGATAGTTTTTATTTCCTGTGGCAGCTGCTAAAAAGTACTGAATCAGTCAGCAGATTTCAAATGTAAATCACGTTTTACCAATTTTCAAATCATGTTGTACTTCAGTTTGCCTCTCGGTGTGCTATACTTGCAAATGTCTCATTGCTACGGTTTGGAGTCTTTCAGTGTATATTTTTTAGTGTTAGAAAACTACTTCAGCTTAAAAATCAAGTATGATAATGATTTGTGTTTTTTATGAAAGCTCTTAATAAGTGTACATTTGGAAATACATATTTCAAATATAATCTTTAAAAATTTTTCTCTTAGACCATAGAGATGATTGAGAAAGAGCAGAGAGAAGTGGAAAGACGACCAATCACAAAAATAACTCACAAAGGTGAAATAGAAATTGAGAGTGATGCACCAATGAAGGAGCAGGAAGCAGCCATGGAGATTCAGGTGAGGATTATAGATGTGTAGATTATTTACTTTTAATAAAGTAGCTTACTGATTTAATGGCTTTTTTGAGGTTGATATTGTTGAGTATTGTTTCTATTAGAATATAGACTATCTGTAGTATCGGTACCTGATTAAAATGTCAGTATAGATTCCTAGGATAGTAGTATAATTGCTTAATAGGTTTAAGAATCTGTAGCTGGTTCTTTTTTGTTGTTTTGTTGAGAACAGGGTCTTGCTATGTAGTTCAGGCTGGTTTTAAGCTCACTGTGTAACACAAGATGGTTTCAAACTCACAGTGATCTTCCTGACTGGGCCTGCCAAGTAATAGTATTATAGGTGTGCACCATCACACCCAGCTTTAGGTGCTTCTTAAGAGAGAGTGTACAGGTTTCTCTTAACTCCAGGCTTCAACTGACATTGGTGTGTGGGCTGTGGGCTGTTGGTCTGGGAAGCATCATCTTGCCGCTTGCTTGAGCTCTGCCTCAGATAAATAGGGCACTAGATTCTCATAGAAGCCAAAATCCTACTTTTCAGGACCTTGGAGGTACACATCCCTTAACTCCACCCTCACCCCCTGGTCCATGGAAAAATTGTCCTCTGCTAAACTTAGCCCCTGATGTCAAGAAGGTTGGGGATCCTTGGACTATAGTTTGAGAGCTGATATGTTGAGGATATGATTTGAAAGCTTTGAAGAATGAGAAACTGAGTGCCCCCCCCCCCATTTCAAGTAATAATAGTTTTTAAAAAATAGTGAAAGCAACCTATGAATATAGTGATTACATTTTAGGAAAACAGTGTAAAATATAACGTTTTTAGAGCTGAAGCATAATTGAATTAGCCCAAACTGACTTTACTCTCACTTTGCATTAGGAGCCGACAGCCAGTAAGTCATTGGAAAAGCCAGAGGGATCTGAAAAACACAAAGAAGAGAATGACTCCATGTCTAAAGATACCACTAGTCAACACAGACAGCATCTTTTTGATCTTAACTGCAAAATCTGCATAGGTGATTAGAAATTTTTTCCCTAAAATGTTGCATTCATTGTTAAAGGTGGGGAGTACTTCAGTATTTCATAGCATTTGTGGTTTAAGTAGTTTTTATTTTTCTAGTTTTGGTAGTACAGTATTTACTTACTGGTTTTGAGCAGGAATGTATTTTTAAGTTGAGGTTGGTTTTTTTTTTTTTTTTTTTTTTTTTGGTATCAAGGATTGAACTCACCACCTCACGTTTGCCAAGCAGGCAGTTATGCCGCTGAGCTAAACCCCTGGCCCAGGAATGTATTTTTGTGTGACTACCTTTTTCAGCGTTGAGGTATATTTTGATGCAATAGTGTAGCTTAATATTTAGAATTAATTGTATTACATGGGATCTTTACCGCCCAACACTTGCCAGGATTGGATCATTCAATAATGTCCATTTAAGGATTGCCAGTGTCCTTTTGTGACTTTATAGCTCATTTCTTTTCAGATACTACATTGTTTGGATGTACCTTAGTTTATTTTATGCATTCATTTACTGAAGTAGATATAAATAAAACTGCTATAAATGAGGACATTTCTTGTGTGGATGGATGTAAGCTTCCATCTCCTTTGGATAAATACCAGCGAGGGTAAATACCAGGGAACAGAATTGTTGGGTCATATAGTGTGTTTATTTTTGTAAGAAACTGACTTACAGTTTTCCAAAGTGGCTGTACTACTTTGCATCCCTGTCAACCTAAGTGAGATTTCTTTATGATCTGTATGCTCACCAGCATTTGCTGAGTCAGTGTTTAGGATTTGGGCATTCTAATAGGTAGGTAGTGGTGTCTTGTATAATTTATGATTCCCAAATGATGTGATAACGAGCATCTTGTCGTATGTCTGTGCCCTTGGTGCATCTCTTCTGTTAGGAGTCTGTTTAGCTATTTTGCCTGTTTTCTAATTGAGTTGGTTGTTTTCCCATTTTTAAGTTTTAAGAGTTTTTGTGTATTTTGGATACTATCGTATCGGATGTGTCCTTTGCAAATATTTTCTCATAGCCGATGGCTTGTATCTCATTTTCCCGGCATTATTTTTTTGCAAAGCTGAAGTGTTTAGTTTTAATGGAGTCTAGCCCATTCATGCATTCCTTTTTTTGTTCATTCACTCATTCTTTCAGAGATCATACCTTTGGTATTTTCTCTTATTACATACTCAAGCTCACGTACGTCTCCTTCTGTGTTGTCTCTCATAAGTCCTATAGTTTTCTGTTTAGGTTTCTAATCCATTTTGAGTTAATTTTTGTGAAGAGTGGAAGATTTATATCTAGATGAATCTTCCGGTGTGTGTGCTTTTGCATGTGTATGTCTAGTTGTTCCAGATAATTTGTTGAACGAGACTTTTTGCTCCATTGTATTGCCTTGCTTCCTTGTTGAAGATCAAATACAGTTAATTATATGCTATGTAAGCCCTCTATTCTGCTCCATTTATATTTGCCTACTCTTGCCCTACAATGTTTTGATTACAGTACTTTGTAGTTCCTGGGTAGTCTCAATCCTGTGAGTTTGCTCTTCAGTATTGTATTGTTTACTCTGAATCTTCAGCTCAGAAATTACCTCGTTGTGTGTATTATCTTGATTATTCATTTAGTAAATATTTGGTGAATTGTTCTTGTCAGGTACTTTGCTGAGTGCAAGGAGTACATTGGTAAAAAGATCTGATATTTTCTAGGCTTTAAGAGGTAAAGATAGCCAGATAGCAGTTACTAAAGTACACTTTTTATAAGTGTGTTTGAAGGAAGATCTCACCTACATTGGTGTGTGAGAAGCTTGCCTGAAGAATTAACATTTAAGCAGAGATGTAAAAAATGGAGAAATGTTCTTGCAAAAAGAGAGCTCAGGCACATTCCAGGGATTGGAAATAAAGTGAATGTGAATTGAGTTTAGGGAAAGGATAGGGGCACATGATTTGTTTGTCGAGATATTGATAGATTACATTTTAAGTGTCTTATAGTCATTACTTTTTAAACTGTAGGTTGTGACTCAGTTACAAGCAGCAAAATCCATTTCATAAGTAGTGACCAGCACTGGAAAATAAAAGTGTATGTTTTCCATGTCTTAGTACTTAAGTAGCACTATACCATGTGTGTATGTATACTCATAAACTGCTGGTGCATACAGTGCTAACTAAGGTACAGATTTATTTCATGGAGTTCTATAAATATTTCTCAATATTATTGGATTTTGGTGTACTTTCGGTAAAACTTTGAATCAAGAAACCCATTTTATGTTGTATAACATTTTCATTATTGGTTGTCTAAGTGACTTAACATCTTTTTCCTTATTTTTTATGCCAGTAACAAAGGAATTATATTGAGTCCATGTTTGCTCACATGTTCAATGTTTAGAGAATAGTGTTTGTAAAATAATTTGAAAGAGAAGTTAAGTATAATACAGTGCAGTCCTGTGCAATATTCTGAGACTTGCATTTAGGCCCTGTGGAAGATGCCAGACAATGGGAGCATGATGACTGATTGGTAAGCTCTCTGTTGATTCTTAAGCTTAGGGGTAATATAACTTAGGAGAAACCATGATATGATGGTGAGTTTTGACACTGCCCCAGAAAAGGGATAGTTACCCCGTAACTCAATCAGGTAAACTAAATAACTTGACAAAGTAAAAATGGATTAATTTATAAAAATTGCAATTAACATTTATTTTGGGGTGTCTTCTGGCTTTAGGTCGAATGGCACCACCTGTAGATGATCTTTCTCCAAAAAAGGTCAAAGTTGTCGTTGGAGTAGCTCGAAAACATTCAGACAATGAAGCAGAAAGTATAGCAGACGCATTATCTTCAACTTCAAGTATTTTGGCTTCTGAATTCTTTGACGAGGAGAAACAAGAGTCTCCAAAATCAACATTCTCTCCTGCTCCACGGTGGTTCTCTCTCAGTTATACTTTTTATAATCATTATAGGTTTTTTTTTTTTTTTTTTTTTTTTTGTCTTTTTTGAGACAGAGTCTCGCTGTGCAGTTCAGGCTGGCCTTGAGCTCACTTTGTAGCCCAGGCTGGTCTCAAACTCGCAACGATACTCCCATCTCAGCTTCCTGAGTGCTGGGATTACAGGCGTGAGCCACCACACCCAGCTTTTATAGTAATTATAGGTTTTTACTGAATTATACTTGGAAGTCTTTGAAAACAATAAAGTGGCATTTCTTAATGACTTTTGAGAAAGTTTCTATCTTTTCCTGTACTTTAATGAAAATAAGATTAAGACTGAGCATTAATTTTAAGTGGTTAGAGTGAGAGATCTGAGTGTGGCACTTGACCTCTCATTTTGGCTGTCTCAAGAGTCAGTGGCTAGGTTATTAGAGAAAAATGCTTGCATATCTTTGGTGCTTGGTCTGCATAAGGCAGATGGAGGATGGCTTTATGTTAACTAGTGACTAAATAAAAAATGAACTTCTCATGTATCTTCAGGCTGCTAACTATATAATAACATTTTCTAGTCCAGAGATGCCTGGAACTGTTGAAGTTGAGTCTACCTTCCTGGCTCGATTGAACTTCATCTGGAAAGGTTTTATCAACATGCCCTCTGTGGCAAAATTTGTTACCAAAGCCTACCCAGTATCTGGCTCATCTGAATACCTGACGGAGGTACTATGATCCTTTCTGCCTTTCTGTGCCTGATTTGATCTGTGATTCCTAAAAAAAAAAAGCATAGTTTAAAAATATTACCTAATAATAATGTTTGAACAGTTTAGTCAGTTCTACAGTTGCTTTGTACAGTTGTTGAAAACTCTCCTCTCATTTTAAACTTGTGTCTTAACATTCTTAAGATGTGCTTCCCCATGTCAGAGAATTAAAGATCAGTGAGTGTTCTGTGTGCATATCCAAGTATATCTTTTAATATAGACCTTTATAAAAGATTGACGTAACTGTGACTTGTACTATTAGCCTGTCAGATTTTTCATTGTTAAACAAGTTTTTAATTTCCTCGTATGCGTGATTTCTCCAGCTTTGTGACTACAGCTCTTACCTGTCTGTTTCTGTGAATGTGGTGTAGACTGGGAATTGAAGTTTGCAGCTTGGCAACATTCCCATCATTGCTGTACTGATAGTGATTTTATGTATAAGGCAATTGGAAGAATCTATTACATAGTTCCTAAAGAAAGTAAACAGCAGTATTTCATAATATTTTAATGACAGTATGACATTTTAAAATCATTTGGAAGGAAATTATTTTTGTGAATCTAACAAGATGAAGATAAATCAGTACATATGTATATTTATATTGAGATCATTTTATTCATTCTTAGTCTGCTGACTGTAAAGATGTCTTTTTAAAAAGTTGTCTTTAGTATTTTAAAAAGGATAAATCATATGAATATTTTCTGTAAGTCTAATAAAACGTGATTAGGCTGAAATTAGTGTAGTATTTAATGATACTATTTAATGATTGTTTAGTATTAATGTTTTATTACTAATTACATTTATATATTAATTACATTTACATGTAGTTTGCTTGGTAAATGATATTTTATTTATTTATTTTTTTGGTACTGTGGATTGAACTCACGACCTCATGTTTGCCAGGCAGGCACTTCCACCACTGAGCTAAATAAATCCCCAGCCTGTACGTGGTATTTCAGATGTGTAACTTTTGTAAGAAATATAAATGAGCCAGGGATTTAGCTCAGCAGTATAAGCTCCTGCCTCTCAAGCTCAAGGTCATGATTTCGATCCCTGGTTCCCCCCCCCCCCCCCAAAAAAAAAAAACCCCAGATGAATGTAGATGTTCTTTTTGACAGGCTTTAGAAATTTAGTCTTTTATTAGATCATGGTTCAGATAACTTTTAAGTTGAAAATTAGATTCTGAACTATGCAAACATTTTAATTTTAAATATAATTTTCTTCTCTGAGCCATAGTTTCTGTGTAGATGCTTTCCAGAACTTCACTTCTGCTTTCTAGTTATTTTTAGTTTGGAGTTAAAGTAAGTCTTTAAAGTAATTAATGATTAAAATAAACTGAATTGAATTTAATGTAAGTTAATTATGTTTTTATAAGACCTTTAGTGTTCATGGGAAAAATGAATGCATGGAATAAAGTTTTTAAAATATTAATTGACTTTCTACATAGTTGTCTGTTTTCGGAAAGATGATCTTTTTAAAAAAAAAGCCTTACATTGTTACAGTATTATTTTTCTCTATCTAGAAATAATAATCTGTAAGGGAATATTTTCTGAAATGTAGCTCTTAATGATTAAGGAGTTCGCCTTTTCTACTTTACCAAAACAGAAAACCAACCTTAGGAGGGGAGGGCCATCTCTCTGGATATTTGAAACACATCGTGACTTTGCTGACTTGTTAAAAATGATATGCTTGCCACTGCTTTCTTTCTTACGTTATCTATCCACTGACAGCCTGGAATGAACACTCTTTCTTAGTCATTGTATTTTAGGCATCATTCACTTGGAGCTGGCATCAAGAGTGTAGTTGCTGCCTCTGAGTAACGTTGTGCTTTGTAGTATCTTTTGTTTACTTTTTGTGTGTGTTGGAAATTGAACATAGAGGAAAGCATGTCTGTTGCTACTGAGCAACTCTTAGTTGGTATGATTATGAATATTATAATAAATGTGTTCCATATATATATTGATCACTTTCCTTTTTTGTTTAACATAGGATCTACCAGATAGTATTCAAGTAGGTGGCAGGATATCACCTCAGACAGTTTGGGATTATGTGGAAAAAATAAAAGCATCAGGAACCAAGGTGAGCAAAGCTTTTTCACAGTACCAGCATAGGAAAATGTTTGTAAAGTAACCTCTCCAAAGTTGTTATGAAGAGAGCAGAGTCTCCTGTGTGTGGGAGCCAGTGTCTATAAGGTGTGTTGCAGAACTGAACAGAAGCTGTTTGCTAATGTTCAAGCAGCCTAAGTCCCTTTCATTTTCTGCCTCTCATGTACTTTCTCTGTGGCTTCTGTCAAGATTTTGGAAAAATACTTTTTAAGTAGGGGCTGGGGATTTAGCTCAGCGGCTTAAGCACCTGTCTTGTAAGCAGGCAGTCGTGAGTTTGATCCCTGGTACCGATAAAAAGGAAAAAGACAAAAAAAAAAAAAAATACTTTTAAGTATTCACCCTGGAATTCTACCTTTCTTCTTTGTAGGCATTTGCTTAAGGCAAAACTAAATTTTTGCAACAAAGATACAATAGCTCAGACATAATTTTTTCCTCTTTTGTTAGGTAGCCTATTCCTCCTTTATTCCTAAATTTAGTCCTCCTAAATTTAGTAGATTTGTATGTATATTAGTTTTCCCTTATTTGTAGCTCTGGTTTCTGAGATTTCACTAGCCAATAGTCAGGCATGCTTCAGAAATACAGGATGGGAAACTTCAGAAATAATTCATAAGGTTTTGGGCAGTTTTTTGGTGCTGGGAATCAAACTCAGGACCTTGTGCTTGCCAGGCAGGCACTGTGTGACTGAGCTATATCCCCAGCCCTCACAAGTTTTAAATTGCCATTCTGAGTAGTAGCATGATGAAATCTTGCTCCTTTCCCACCCAGGAGGACATTAGCCATCCTGTGTCCAGTGTGTCTGTATCTAGGCCATGTGTGTTACCTGATTATTAGTTAACTATCATGATTATCAAGTCAGCTTACTCGATGTCACAGTGATCTGTGACCTTCAGTTTGTTGCAGCTGGCTTCAAAGCATAAAAGTGGTAATGCTGACACTTTTATTATGCTGTATTATGATTGTTCTATTTTATTATTAGATTTGTTACTCTGTACATGTCTAATTTGTAAATTAACTTTTTGATATATGTGATAGTTCTATGTATGTGAAAAAAATACATATGCTGGTCACTGTCCATAGTTCTAAGGATTTACTAGGGATCTTCAAACGTACTCCTCACAGATAGGGAGACACTTACATAATTACACAGTGGATTGATGGTGCTAAATACTGTTAATTCACAATGTTCCAAGAGCACTAGCCACTCTGCAGAAATTATAACACGGGAAACAGAAGTCATATTGTAACTATCACAGGGTGTCATCTCTGCCTCTTACAAGTTGTTTAACCAAGCACTAATTCATTAATCATCTCAAGACTCAATTGCTTTTTTTAAGAAAAATTTTTATGTAAAATAAACCTGTCAGTTGATCAGCAGAAATCTTAAGGATTGTGGCCTCTTACTAGTCTCATCTGTTTTGAGGTTTGTAAACTATAGAAATCTGATTGTTTCTAATTGAGAAATAGTATTTTAAACCAGGCTATTTTTAGGTTATTCTTTTAAACAACAATTTGTTATTTTCTTAAATAGGAGATCTGTGTGGTTCGTTTCACACCAGTAACTGAAGAAGATCAAATTTCGTACACTTTGCTGTTTGCGTACTTCAGTAGCAGAAAGCGCTATGGAGTGGCTGCTAACAACATGAAGCAGGTTAAAGATATGTACCTTATTCCTTTGGGTGCTGCAGATAAAATTCCACACCCTCTTGTGCCTTTTGATGGACCTGGTAGGTATATGTTTTAACACTAGAGTCACATTGAAATAAAGTAGGGAGTAGGGTCAGAGCAAACATGACTGCGTTCTTTTTGGTGGTCCAGCCTTCTAGAGAGGGCTTGGCAGACCTAGGTGTCCATTTAATATCTTGTGATAAACTAAATGCAAAATGTTTTAGGTAATGATTGAAAATGACTGTTGATACTTTTCTTTTTATACAGGGCTTGAACTGCATAGACCTAACCTATTGTTGGGCCTAATCATTCGTCAGAAACTGAAGAGGCAGCATAGTGCCAGTATTGGAACTTGTCATACAGCTGAGGCTACTGAAAGTGTACAGATAGTCTTGCCACCTGACAAGAAACCTAAAATAGAAGCTTCTACAGAGGAAGCACCAGAGGAAGAAAATGACTTTTTTAATTCCTTTACAACTGTGTTGCACAAGCAGAGAAATAAGCCTCTGCAGATTCTTCAGGAAGACCTGCCAACAGCTGTTGAACCTTTAATGGAAGTCACCAAACAGGAACCACCAAAACCTTTACGATTTCTTCCTGGGGTATTAATTGGGTGGGAAAATCAACCATCTGCTTTGGAATTAGCAAATAAACCTCTTCCTGTGGATGACATACTTCAAAGCCTTTTGGGGACCACTGGCCAAGTATATGAGCAGGCTCAGTCAGTGGTGGAACAGAACACTGTTAAGGAAATCCCATTTATAAATGAGCAAACTAACTCAAAAACAGAAAAAGTAGATAAAGTGGAAGTAACAGATGGTGATGTCAAGGAGGTAAAACTTAAAGTAGACCATCTTTCAGAATCACCGGGTAATTCAGGAGGAGGAGAAGAAACATCATTAGTGGGAACCTCTTCCATTTCCCCAGGGCCTTTGACGAGTCTTAGTCTCAGAGGTAAACCACCAGATGTTTCTACAGAAGCATTCTTAACAAATTTATCAATTCAGTCAAAACAAGAAGAAGCTGTGGAGAACAAAGAGAGAACACTAAAAAGACAACTGCTCCAAGATCAGGAGAGTAATTTGCAAGATAATCGGACTTCAAGTAGTTCTCCATGCAGATCTAATGTAGGAAAAGGAAACACAGATGGTAACATGAGTTGCAGTGAAAATCTTGTTGCTAATGTAACAAGGGCCCCACAGTTTATTAATCTGAAAAGGGATCCTAGGCAAGCAGCAGGACGGAGTCAGCAGATAATTGCTTCAGAAAGCAAAGATGGAGATGGTAGCCGCAATGGAGAAAAACATGCCCTGTCTGATTTAGCACACAACAAGGAGCAACTGACAGAACAAATCATTGTGGAGGAAAAAGTGTCCTCTACTGAGAAAAACTCCTGTGTTCAGCAGAGTGATAACTCAAAGATTGCACAGAGCTCAGTGTCCGTAGAAAACACACCTTCTTCCCAAACAGAACCAGCAAAACCCTTACAGGAGGACATTTTAACACAGAGTATTGAAACTGTGCACCCATTTAGAAGAGGAGTGGCTGGAACAGCATCTCATTTTGAACTTGGAAATACATGCCAGTCAGAATTTCCTCCCAAAAACATCAGCTTCACTCCCAGAAACACCAGCCCCCGAACAGGTATGAACTTCTCACCCATGCGGCCACAGCAGCCTGGCCTCCAGCATCTCAAATCTAGCCCTCCAGGGTTTCCATTCACAGGGCCTCCTAACTTCCCCCCGCAAAGTATGTTTGGATTTCCACCACATTTGCCGCCTCCACTACTTCCCCCTCCAGGCTTTGGCTTTCCTCAGAATCCAGTGGTTCCTTGGCCACCTGTTCATCTTCCCGGCCAACCACAACGTATGATGGGTCCCCTTTCACAAGCGTCAAGATTCATAGGCCCACAGAACTTCCACCAGGTTAAAGACATTCGGAGGCCAGAAAGGCGCCATAGTGACCCTTGGGGCAGGCAAGACCAGCTGCCACTGGATCGGCCATTCAGCAGGGGCAAAGGGGATCGCCAGAGATTTTACAGTGATTCCCACCACTTGAAAAGAGAGCGACATGAAAAGGATTGGGAGCAAGACTCGGAAAGGCACAGACGCAGGGACAGAAGCCAAGACAAAGATAGAGACAGAAAAACCAGAGAGGACGGGCACAAAGACAAAGACAGGCCCCGGTTACTCCATGGTGATCGAGGAGCAGATGGGAAAGTGGGCAGAGATAACAGAAATGTAGACAAGCCAGACAAACCCAAAAGCGAAGACCACGAAAAGGACAAAGAACGAGAGAAAAGTAAACACAGAGAGGGGGAAAAAGACAGGGATAGGTATCACAAAGATAGGGACCACACCGACAGAGCTAAAAGCAAAAGGTAAAATTTGCAGGCTGCATCAGGATGACATTTAAAGAACTGCGAAGTGCTGTGCCATTCTCCAGCTGCCTGCCACGATTGTCCTATCTTTTAAATTCTTGCTGTTGGTGATTTGCAGAAACCTCAATTCTGTCAGTGCAGAGTGCCCTGCACCCTGAAACTAGCTATAGGAATTTAATATTTTTAAAAGTTTTACATTGCTGTATATTCAAAGATTTGTTTTATTAATATGCAATAAAGGCTTAGAAATTTTAGTTTTTATTCCTTAATTGGTAAATATGGTTGGCTATGGAAAGTATTTACTGCCTCTAGCGAGTGTCTTTTATATAATGACTGTTGGAGAGTAATGTGTGCTCTGCAAGTTTTAACATTGCACTGTTTTCAAAGAAACTATAGAGGAGCAACAACAAAAAGCCAAGCAGCTTCGTAACTAGATTATACTAATCATTCAGTTGAGCGGTTTTTGACCAAGAATCAGAAGTCCAAGGAGTATATTTGTTACTTTAATCTGTTCTCACTGAAGAAATTTATTACCATACTACCATATACAACAGCGTTGCAGTGGTCCATTGCTTTTGTTTTCATTTTTTGGTTCTTCAGAAACTTGAATAAGTAAGCTTGTACATGATCTTGTGTTTTGCTATCCTTTTTATTGTAAAATGTAAATATTTTAAGGGATATTTTGATTCTAAATATGATAAAAAGAATTTCTCATCTATTTTGTGTGCGTGATTTGAAATTTAGAGGTAAAATGACTTGTTCTTTAAAGCTTTAATTACCTTTAGACGTTGTTCTCTTACTCAGCTAAGAATTTCTGTACATGGCTATGTCAGTTATTGGGCAGTTTTTAAATTTTAGAGGTTAGGGTGAGATAAATTACATATTCTAAAGAGGCTAGCATTTAGAACTGCCGAGGAAAAAACCTAAGCTATATCCTACTTTATCGATACATTTCTTGAATACTTATACAACATAAAATTTTGTTACACTGACCACAGAACTTTTACTTAAACTGTTTTGGATATTTTTTGTAAAATGCCTACTTAACCTTTATTTGCTTATAGGGCAATAGTGGTGGCAAACCTACAGCACACAGTGGGTTATTTGTATCTTGAAAGCTCCATAAAAGGTTTACCATCACTGTTATAGGCAACTGTACAGTTTAATGTGCCAGTTTGACTTGAAATAGAAAGCACATGCAAGCAATTGTTACTTCAAATCTAAGTTTATACCCTAAAATAAATACTGTATTGATGGCTGTAATGTAAAGCAACAGCTGTCAAATGATGCTGAGACCCCAAAAAAGGAGAGGAGCAATGTTTTTAACCTTTATGTAACAATGAAGAAGAATCAGTGGCCACAAAATTAAGAGAATTGTTTCTCAAAGCTAAGGATTGCAGTTAAAAATAATTTTTCAGCGAAGTCAGCCATACCATTTTCACTGGAGAGAAGTTTAGAATGAAGTTGTATTTAACTTACAACTTCCAAAACTTACTTTTTAGAAAACCCCTTACCTGAAATTTAGGAGAAATAGTAGTCTCCAACTTCCCCTCCATCACCTGCCAAGTCTAAGGTTGGTCAGTCAGCTTTTGTACCATTAACAAATTGCTACCAAGATTTTACAAGTTTCAGAAACTTTTTAGTGTTATTTTAAATTTTAGTGTTATTTTAATTTGAGATGTGTATGTTGTCAGTAGATCTTTTACTGGTTTAATAGTTGATCTGACACCAAATTTTTTTTTTTTTTTTTTTTTTTTTTTTTGTATTTTTACCGGTACCAGGGATCAAACTCAAGACCACACCCTTGCAAGGCAGGCGCTTATGCCGCTGAGCTAAATCCCTAGCCCCCTGACACCAAATTTCTACAGTACAAGTGAAACACAGTCGGTTATTAAATGGAATAAAGTCTTTACGTCAGTTTTTGATTACCTCTTAGCTAATAATTCCTTGTATATGTTGTGATGCTTAATCTAAAATTCTTCATATCTCATTGACTCTCACTGAATTTTAATACAGATTTTTAAAAGTAGGAAAAGGGGCCTGGGAATATTGCTCAAGTGTTACAGCACCTGCCTGGCAAGCACCAGGTCCTAATTTCCATTCCCTGTAGTTTCTCTCTCCCCTCAAAAAAAACAAAAAAAAAAAAAAGGCTAGATAGCTTCTTGTTTTCCAAAGCCCATGTACTTACTTCAGAGTGAAAAGGAGGTGTGGAGCTGGTTACCGCCTTACCCCTTCAGGTTACTTCCTTACCTTTCATTCACCAACCTGTTTGAATCTACCCTTGAGCAACAACACACCAGCAGCATCTTTGGGTTCCTTTGTACACGTGTGGTTTATTTTAATCACAAATTTCAATTCTCCAGTCTTCTATTTTATTTTGATGCTATGACAAATTACAATAAAATCACACAAATCTATTAATGTAGTGTGGATCAGAAATCTGATGCAGATCTCACTGAGTAATGCAGTATCAAGGTGTCTCTGTGGTAAGTTTTTTTTCCCGGGAGACTCTAGGGAAGAGTCCACTTCTTTAATTTCCAGAGACCAGCCACTTTCCTTGATTCACAGTCCCTCTACAAAGCGAGGCTGTCTTTTGTCATGTTGCTAGCTCTGACACTTTCTGTCTCCTTTCATTTCTGAAGATTCTTGATCACTACGTTCACTCCCCCACATAATGTTACTATTTTAAGGTAAGCAGAATAGTGTTCTAAATTCCATCTGTGACCTTAGTTCTGCTTTCCTGTGTGACCTGTCTGTGGATGTGGAAGTAACTGGGCTGTTGGCATCTTTGGGGGGAGGGGGTTATCCTGCTTACACTCACTAATTGTAGGTTAGTTGGTGACCTCTTGTTAGATTTTTGAAGTTATAGGATATCTGGTTCAGTGTTAGATTTTTGGAGTTAAGGACTATCTAAGATAATAGTAACAATAGAGAAGAGATTAAACTGACGTTAAACACTAGAATATTAGCATGTGATTATACTTAATGTGTGACATACAGTTAAGTTTAACCTCACTGTTGCTTTAATAGATATGTTTTTGAGGTACACAGGTCAAGATAGGTACATTTTGAGGTTGATAATGAACTAGATCTCATATTTTAACTTAATTTTAACATTTTGAAATACTGTCCCTGTTTTCTCACGCTCAGATCTCTAAAATGAATGCAGAGAACACTAAATGTTTGATTTCTGTTGCTAAAAGTAAGTCATACATGAAATGGTACTGCTTTAAAAAGGCACACACACACACACACACACACACACTCTCCCTGATCCTTTGATTCATGTTTATAAAGAATTTTAATCTGTGTACTGAGCAAGACAGTAGTGGGATGTTAAAAAAAAAATTAGGTCAATAAGTATCTTAAAAACTTGAGTCCTCTTTGTAAGTTTGGTTTTTTTACATCCCCATTTCTTTGATCAGATATTATTGGTATATTTTAGATGTATATAGTGATCACATTCATCATGAAGAATTTGTACCTCTGCATGGTAGAACTTGATTTTTTCCCATTCCCCTTTCCTACCTTCAATGCTTTACCCCTTTCCCTCCTCTATTCTCCTCCCCATTTGAACATTTTTTTCCTATTTCACAGTACCACATACACATTTTGGTCTTTACTTACACTTTCAGTTTCTCACACCTGAGAAGTAATACAGTATTTACATTCACCAATTTATTTCACTTAAGAGTATGGTCTCAGCACTCATTACCTAAAAATGTCTCAAGTGTATCCTTTACGACAGAGTAGTATTCCATTTTATAAAAAAATCAACATCATTATCCATTCAGCAGTTGATGGTCATTTGGGTGGTTTTCATTGTTGGCTGTTGCAAACTGCCATAAACGCAGGTATGCATATATTGCTGTGGTATGATGCTTTTAATTTTTAGGGGAAGATACCAAGGAGGGGAATAGCTGGGTCAAATTGTAGGATTCATTTTAAAGGATAGATTTAAAATAGAGGAAATCCTGTCATATGTCCTTATAAGACAATGAAGCCAGTATGGATTCAGAATATCCCCAGAATTCTTTGACTTTTTTGATGAAATAATTCAGTGTGTGTGTATGGCCAAGTTGTCTTTTTATAATATTCCTTAATAGTATGTCCCAAATGATATTTTTGAGAACTTTTTAAAAGGAACCTTTCAAAAGGATAGTTGCCATTTGGTTTAGATAATTTTTTAAAAGTTCCTGTGTTTATATTCAGCATTATTTTTGTATCCATTACTTTTATTTTATTCTGGAAAAGTATTGCATAGGGAAAAAACACCAGTAAGATAGTAAAAACGGATAATGTTGACAATGAGCCACAGGAGTTTGTGATTTTAAAGTGAAAAGATTCTCACCACGTGCTGTACATGAGCAGCTGTAGGAAGCAGTCTCAGGTCTTCCATGTTCAGGATGCACTTGTCTTGGGAATCTGAAGAGCAGGGTGAGGAGGGACCAGTCTTGCAGAGCTTGTATAATAGTGTTGAAAATAGGACATCTGAATGTAAACAAAATTGCAGCTGCAAGAACCTGTGAACCGGAAATGCTGAACTTTACAGTTTCGGGATCCCCTACTCTTGAAAATTGTTGAATATTAAAATAACTTTAAAGCTTTTAAATTTAATGATAACCCTACTTATTGTGTGTTAATGGCATGTGTGATAAGTAAGGGGCCTGTCACTGTTCATTCTTTTTATATTTGCCTCAAGTCAACTGCATTTTTAAAATGTGATGAAAACGTGGCTTTACACTGGTTTACCACTGGAGAGGGAGAATTGGGATCCCCTCAAAAGAGACCGCGGGTGCCTGGGAGCACACTTGTGGAGCCTTATACCGCAGAGGAGTACAGTTTTCATGTAGAACGTGTGGCCAAACGTGTTGTGAGTGCTGTCCAGAGGGTTCCTGAAAGCTTTGGTCGCCTTCTACACGACAGCTTTGGCTTCCTGTGCAGCGGGGCCCTAATGCGTGTGTCTCACTGTCAGGTTGCTTTGGTTCAATTTTATTAGTAAAAAGATGAGTAAAAGTCAGTAGATTCATTTTTGTCTCCAGTGGTCCAAGCCACTTAAATGGCAGGCATGTGTCCCTCTAAGTGTTCAAGCAGCTCGACAGGGCAGTTGTGTTTGGACTGCCGGTGGTTCCAGCCAGTAGGAATATGTTAAAAGGCCTGCTAGCTGCTGGAAGAAGAACATTTATGTTTATCTGAGTTTTCAAACCGTTGCAGTGATCTGGGCCAAACCAAGTTAGGTCGAAATTTCTTTTAGCAAATATTGATGGAGTTGTCGAGCTGATTGTGTGCTTAAGAAAAGAACCTTTGGGCTAGGGATTTAGCTCAGCAGCGTAAACACCTGCCTTGCAAGCAGGCAGTCGTGAGTTCGATCCCTGGTACCGATAAAAAGGAAAAAGACAAAAAAAAAAAAAAAAAAAAAAAAAAAAAAACCTCAGGCAAGAAAAGAACCTTTGAAGCAGTGTATACATCATCCAGTGAGTGGTTAGTCTTCGTATCCTCTAATAAACAGCAGCACGTCTCACAGTGCTTTGCCCTGTCAGGTAGCACCAGTGTTCTTCATTTTAGTCTTGAGTTCCTACAAGAAGACATAGCTTTCTCATCGGGGTGGCTAAAATAGCAAGAAAACAAAAACACTGTTCAAATGGTTAGATGACCTAGTCCCCGTGCATAGGCCAGTCTGCACAGACCTTAAAAGGTTAATAATGGTGCTTTCATTCT